GCCTTGCTGTTCCTGGGAAGGCTGCTATGCTCTCAGGGGAGCTCTGATATTCACCTTGAGCCTCACTTTCAGGCTCCAGGGTAGATCCCTCAGCCTGGGGGCACAAATCCTTCACACCTCCTGTGCAGGTGTTCTGGCCTCCACTACTGGCCAGGTCTTCTAGGTGCACATCCTTGACATGGACTTGCATGGGATGTTGCCTTGGGCTTTAGGCCTTCAGCTGGACTTGTGCCGGACTTTGCTGTAGGTTCCAGGTCCTTGGCTGGATTCTTTTGTTTCTCTAGTGTGCAGCTAGATCTCTTGCACTTCTCTGTCTTTGACTTTTTGGGTGACTATTATAAAATAATCCTATAAATTATGTGTCCAGTATTAAATCTATTCCCTTGCAAAGCTTGACTACAACAAAATTCTTTCAATTTAGGGAGCCAAGAGGCAAGTTAAATATTTTTGTCAGGATTTGATGACAGCTTGTTTTGTTGTAAGGATTATTATTTTTGGAAAGAAAATCATTTACTGTAATATGCTATGCAGACTAATTACTGTTATGTCCCTCTTAAAGCAGATTTCTGCTTATAAGTTTAGAACTGAATTCTAGTTCTGACTCCATTGCATATTGGCATTTAATCATTTAATCTTAAGTAACTTATAAGTTTCATAATTCCTATCTGCCTATCCTTTGTAGTTAGACTAAATGAGGTAGCATATTTTAAAACTATAAAGGATTTGATCAACTCAACTATGTAAATATCAAATCGTATTATAACTTAAGAACTCAAGTATTGCCTTTTCCTTCAACTACAAGCTCAAAGTGATTTGCATTTATCAAGCCAAAGGCTGCTGGGGCCTGTGTACATCTGGATGGGAATGAAGCCTTGGATTCTTTAGAAGTTGTGGTTCAGAATGCTGCCCCTACTAGTTCAGCTTCTGGAAATGTGTGTGTGAGGAGGGAGGGGATGGAGAGGGAGTGGGTTGGAAAGAAACTCGGAAGATGCTTCACCACAGACAACTCTGCAACTTCTAGTGGAGCAAACAGGTTTAGCACTGTGTCGCGAGCCGCGACGTCAGGATCCTGCCAGCAGGTCCTAAACCTGAAAGGACGTGGACAGAGAGACGGGAGGCACCTTTCTTCTTAACTTCCTTGCTTGCTTTATTGCTGAACCTCTTCCTTTTATACTCTCCAGCTGCATGGGAGCGAGGGCTGCATGGGAGCGAGAGTACCGCCCACACATTCCAGAGGGAAACAATAACAACCATTATGGGTTACATCTGCTAGGCAATAGATCAGACCACCAGCTGAACTCGCCCATTGCTATAGCGACGGCACGTCCACACTGCTCGGGTGAATCACAGGTCAATATGGCTGGGCTCATGTCGTGTTCCTTTACAATGCTCTCCATAGCACTGCATGAGAATTTGGAGACTTTCAGGTCCTTAGGAGCCAGAACAGAGTTGTACAGTTGTCCCTAAACTGAAGTACTATATAGGTAGCGGGAAGACTTCCTTCGTTGCTTTAGCAGGTGGTAAGTATGATGTAGGATTAAAAAAAAATAGAGATAGGAAGAAAGGAGAAAAGGTAAATCATAACTAAAAGTTGTGCTTTTAAGAAGAATGCAACTTCTGGGACACAAATGAAGTTGCCCAAGGCTCTCTGTATTGGTATTCGCTTGGTTAATTTAAGCTTTTTTCCTTTTAGACCCATCAGGCCACATTCCCTAAGGATAGAGTAGGTCTATAAATGGGCTTAGTTAAGAAAATAAAGAGCAGAAACCTGGTCTAAAGATAAAGAGCAGACTGAGATAAATTAGGGAATGCTTACATTATCAATCTTAAAAGAAAAAAAATAACAGCAGGACTCATACTTGTAAAATGGGCCAATGCCCTTCTGGTCAGGAAGATAGGCCACAATTTCCATAGATTTCTACCTCTGCAAGAGAAACACTAATGTTTCCAGTTCTGAGAAATAATGCATTTCATTTCTCTGAACACATATATACCACTCCTGAGTGTGTACTTCTAAAATTCTGCCTAATCTTTTCTGTGCCTCTTATTGAGCAGTCCTGAAAATTCAATTATTTACAACATGAGTCAGCAAACCTGCAGATTTTTTTTGCAGGTAGGGCAGTTTAGTTTCCTTCTCTTTGCTTTGGGAACCCTGTTAGACCCTGTCGCGTGACAGTGACATACTTGCACCTTTACCCTTGGTCCAGGGAGGTCAGCCCACTTGGCCTTACACCATTGTTTCAATGCCATTATTTTAGGTAGTCTAAAGTAATTACCAAGGCATCCTCCAGTCAGTGAATAGACCTTCACTTCAAACAGAATGCATAGCTAGGAAAATAAAACAACTGAAGAGGCCAACCCTTATTAATCCATCTAAATATTGACCAGACTTCTAACTGGCAGAACCTGGATTTCTTTGCCTGAGGGCTTTTACTGGTCACCAAAGCTCTCCTTGCTGGCCCTGGGGCAGATGGGGGTGTGTGGCTCCGAGGAATAGCCGTCAGCCAATGACTGATGATCAAAGCTTGTGTATAAATTTCCATCTTTCTTACTCCTTGAATGGGATAACTCTTAGGCATATATTTTGCACTAGGCTTATGAGTTCTTTCGTTGGATTAGGATCCAGTTACCCACAGTGTGAACTTTCTTAATAAGGCCTTTAATGGCTTTCTTACCCTTGACTCTTTTCTGTGCTCTGATGCCAGTGTTTCCTAGGATTACCTCCCTTATAGACTACTTAAACTCAAGTCCTTTCTCATGGCCTGCTTCTTAGGAAAACTAAGACTTGTATTGCCCTATAAGAGGACTGACTAAATATTCTAATGTGTGTTCTTTTACTTGATTCCTGAATTACAGTACTTCCAGCTGGGCATGGAAGCATTTTTAGTGAATTTGACTAACCTGAAAGAATAAGTTACTCTACTTAAACCACGTGTTTCCAATGAATAGTACAACCGACTCATCCTGCAGTGAAATTCTCAGAAAACAAGTCTCACCCAAGTGCTGAGAACTTCCAGTCAGCTTTTATAGCACTTGATTTCAGGTTTTTCAGGCCTTACTCTTAGGTACCCATGAATACTCAAAGATTACAGGGAATTAATGATCAATGGAGACCAATTTAATAACGATACATACTAGGAGACGGGAGCTTCAACAAGTATTACTAATATTGTCTAAAGATAGAAAATATATCTCTGAAGCAGGAACGAATATAACATCACAAGAAAGCAGCATTTGAAGAACAAAAAATTACAGAAAAGTAAAAATTCTATAAATGCTTGAGAGATAAATTTGAATTCTCCAAGAGCAAAAAGATAAAGTTGGAAAAACTGGAGCATAAAATGGGTAGACAAGATTCACATCATGCTGAGGGGTACAAAGCATATACAAATCAGCAGGTGGCAAGGATGATTGAAAGCTGAAAAGATAATCGCACAGGCAAAGAAAGGAGGCAGAGGCACTTAGGCAGCTGTCTCAGGAGTATGGAGAAAGTATGCAAATCTAAAGACAGTGGATTTGGACAGAAATTAAGAAAAAGTTGGAAGCCCATACTCCCGGGTTCTCAGTCGCTGCCCTGTGGCCTGATCTGTCCTCCTCGCAGACTCTAGTGGGGTGAGTTCCTTGCTCCCAGTATCCTGTCCCCCATGGCAGGCTGCTGCCAAGGACAGGCCCCACCCTGCCCTTTTGCACTGACAGGAGATCGGGCAGCTTGTGTGCTGGAAGATTCATATAGGATTAGGGGGGAGAGGTGTTAAAAGAACACTAGTGTTGAGCAGGTGTGTGTGTGTGTATGGAGATACTGTGGGTCTCGTGTAAGAGGAGGAACAGATGAATTCCTTTTCTCTAATGCATTGGACTCCATTAAGCAAAATGAGGAATGAATGAGTAGTTTGGCGTGGGATGTGGGTGTGTAGAGAGTAGAATATTTACTTAGAAAGTTGGGGTTCAATCGGTATTTCCTAAAACTTCACTAAATGCCTGGGGAGGGATTGTTCTCTTTATATTTTGGACTAAGTGCCTGGGATTGAGGTTAATATCATCAAAATAGTGTACTATTCAGGGGTTTGTAAAGCAAAGGTACATCTCTAGGCCTGGACGTAGTGGAGGATGTGTTGACTGTGTGTGCAAGATAACTGCTGAGAAGAAAAATGAACACACACACGGTTCACACAGTACTGAAGGTCTGCCTCGCAGAGCTAATAACTTCTCAGTCAAGAAGAGGTCGCGCAGACCTCGCCGATGTCCCGGATGTTGGTCTCCGGTCCTCAGGAGAAAACCTGAGCGCTCTAAACTTCCCAGTACTGCAAAGGAGGGCTGCCACGCAAGCGCCTACGCGTCTCCCGGGTTCAGTCAAAGGCGGCGGGAAGTTAGTTTTCTGAGCAGGAACTGAGCAGCTTGAAGACGGATTGGAGACGACGGACCAATAAACAAACGTCTCATTGGCTTAACCCGCGCAGGCTCCCCATCCACCGGATTCCTATTGGGCCTTTCAAGCAGAGCGTGGCCGTGGCTCCCGGGCTCCGCCCCGCACCTCGACCCAGCCTCGGGGTCCGGGGCTGAGGGAGCCGGACGGAAGTGAGCGG